CCACTCCGATAAATCCTGACGAACTTTTTCGGCCAACGCAGGGATCGAACACGGTACCTACGGGTTAGTGAACCAATGTCTTACTCACTGAGTCACTGTGGCTCCCAAACAAGAAACAGCAAACGCATATATCAAGCGAATTGATACGGGAGCCAGCCGTAAGCCAGTCGCAAGCCAGGCTCTTTTTTCGAGGAATTCTATCGGCCAACACTGGGAGCGAATCAACGTCTGACTGACTAAGCCACTCCCACTCCCCATTTTGTACAGACAATGTGCGCCCAAAGCATAGCCTTGGCAATCAAAGTTTGTATGATGAAGACTATGCGATCTTTACGAATAGATGATAAGTGGTATCAGGTATAGATGGCTCAGCCACTTTAACGTTACAGAAAATGGGGTGAAATCAATTAGTAATTTGTATTGAACCATCATTGATTTATTTCTAGAGAAAGCTTGATGTGGTCAGAATATATTTAATTCCATATTAGTCATTGAACCATGCCATTGAACCATGCCACACTTACTTACAGGCGAACTTTCTTTATATCTGAAAATCAATATGATTAGATGTACTAAAGGTTGCTGACAGTTCTACTTCTTAACTCTCTACCTATTGTTTTTCGGTCTATGCGGGGGTGTTCTCTGTAACCAAATCGTTTAAAGTCTCATTGTGAAAGATGAGTCTCCTCGTTGTGAAAGATGAATCTCCCCATTGTGAAAGACGAATCTTTAACGAGAATATCGTTCCAAAAATGGTTCATTTCCATTCAGTATTTACACAGATGTGTTGAATTGAAATCTCATCGATCTATGCTGGTCGCTATATGTAAAATTATGGGCAAACAGAATGGATAGGCCTACTCCAAATCCAATTGAATCTAAGCCGGGAGTTTATCTAGCGTTGGTATTTTGATTTTGTTTTCTTAATTAAACATACATTAAGCAAGAGCTAAATCTGCCTATTGCAGATCTTTCTTTAGGCCTGAAATGTTATATAAACTATTAATTAGACATTTATTAACATAAAAAGACCATAATCAATACTCGATGCCATCTTATGTGTCCGATTTTCATTGGATTTGAATCCGATCTGCTGTTCAACGATTTTAAAATTTAGTTTTCTCGGCTCAGAGTCCAGCAGTTTGACCGAAATTTGCGTGGATTCAGACATGAAAAATTTGCCACTTTAAGATTTGTTTTTCAAAACTGCCTAAAATTTTATGAAAGTGGGAGTAATTCATCAAGTCGTTTGAATATTCATTAAAATCATAAATATTAAAATAAAAAAAATATTGCAGTTTCTAACAAATGTCGAAATGAGTATGTAGCGACCTTTTCGTAAACAATGCATGCTTTCTACGAGTGGTTTAAAGGTAACTTTGGGAGCTAGTCGTCATGGCGGTAGACAGCATATGCTCAGTCTGTATTTGTTGTCCAATCACAGCATTCTCACCTATTGTAAGGAACAACAGCCCCATCCATCTCCGATTGGGTGACGTTGATTGAAATTTAGTTAATAATTTATGTAAAGTTAGAAACAAAATGCTAAAAGATCTCGTCTTTTAATCGGCATATAATAATATTAATTGAAGCATTTAACAGTTCAAGTTCTGTTACGCCCACTGTTGAATAATATCCCTTCTATGAATAACAGGGAGAGCCCCCCCCCCCCCCCCACACACACACCTACTTTCCCAAAGATAATTGTCTCAGGTACTGGGCAAACCCTCTCCTGAAAAATTTATTAGATCCGCAACTGAATAAACGTCATGTTGGTGGCTGGTTGAATTTTTCGGGGCCTGATTTTGAGAACTATAGAAGGCATAAATATAGTGTCGTATGTTCTTACTCCGTGCAATGATTGGTTATATGAATAATATTGCTATTGTGGAGAAATTGGAATGTATTCAGAAGTGTCAATGTGAAAGGACGTGTCATACACATTTCTACCGTGGTTAAGGTGATACCCAAATATTGATGTGGTTGTGGAATATGATCCTAAATGTCATTTTCTAAATTGAAAGTACACTCGTTTTTATCCAGATTTTTCAGAAATGACGCCTCCAAGACGAAAAATCCTGACACATAAGACTTTTATCCAATCTGACAGAGTAGCATTTTAAAAAATCTGACAGAGAAGACTTTTAAATACTAAACTAGGGATTGACGAATTCTATAATTCTCTTTCTTGTGAACTTTCTAACGACACAAGTTATCATCCGGTCTGTATGATATGCATTAATCACGTTAGTGAAATTAAGAACCTTACTGAATTTCAACAATTTCCGTTAATCATTTATAGAGTTATTGTCCTTGATTCGCTTTGTACAATCGTGTGAACACTTCAACGACTAAAGTTATCATTATGGATTATGAAAATTTTTGAAGTGAAGAACACTTTGGGATTTCTGTTTTTAAGAATTATCGCCTGTGAAAGCGCCAATACTGATCAGTATATAATTATTAGTGCCCCGTTCTTGTGGACAGGGCAGTTTATTTCGAAGCCCTACCTTACCCCCCCCCCCCCCCTACACACACACACACCGGTTGAGAATGGGTCAAATCTGCAAAATTTATCGTGGAATCCGCTCCCTAATACGGAAATAAAGCTTCTTCTGGTAGATAGGGATATCTCTCAACTGATGGGTCCAAAAGACACGATCGAGGATATGGAATCTATTATTCAAAGATTGGCTCTTGGCCATGGGGGTTTTATCTATCAAAATTACCACCACCGACTCATTAATCAAATTATTCAACACACACATTACAACTTTAAACAGGGATCTGCAGTGGCTCAGTGAGTAAGAAGCTGGCTCGATACCCCGGAGGTCTCAGGTTCGCTCCTGGTATTGGCCAAGAAATTCCTTATCAGTGGTGCAGAAAGGATAGTCCGGTACGAAAGTGTGCGTGTACACATTTGCGTGCACGTGAGAGAACCCTTGGCAGTTGAAATTCGAAATAAGAGTAGGCTGTAGAACAGCAGAACAGTAGGACGATAAACATTATTTCATTTCACAACTATAAACAACTAAGAATGTAGCAAGAATACACACAAAAAACATCAGCGTAAACTATTCCATTTACTCCATTTTGTGTGAATTTCCGTTCTTTCATTGCGATTTGTTTATAGTTGTATTGTTAATAGTTATTCACGGCTGAAGCCAAGATAAAGACTACAATCACAATATCACATTATTATAAGTAGAGAAATATGTCTATATCTTAGAAATAGAAGACCATGTTTTATGTGCAATTCTATATCGATTCTTCCTTGCAAGACTTTAGGTGAACGGAATGCAAACACACGGTAAACATTGCGTAAATTTGCATACTTAAAGGTGTAACTATAGTTTCATGGAGTAAAAACTGATCATTTTAATTATGAAAGAGAGGACGAACAGTAGTGACTAAGCTTAAACTGCTATGACACGGCTATAATATATTGATGCAATAATTAAAGAGTTGGTTTTTTAATTTCTAATATTTGCAAATGAAATTCTGGTTAATGCGAATCTGTCCAACCTTTTGGCCATTTTTGAACTCCAACATTCTAGATAATCAAACCCTCATCAGAACACAACCCATATCTTTTTAAATTTTAATAAACATTGTCCAACGTCCCCTCTCCAAGAAGGTATTTGGCGGGAAGTTATTTCCACCAAAAGAATGTCAATTTTGGTATATACATGTATATGTATACTAAATCTTACTAGACAAATAGTGGATTCCCTGAAAAAACAGAAATGGTATTACAAACTAGCAGGCTGTCGGTTCGTTGTCCTCTCAACAATGCAGGGAGCGCTTAGTACGTGTTGATCAACTGCATGGCGAGATACTTAAACGTACGAACCTAAATATGTAGAGGATAATCTCCAAATTTACGTCGGCTTTGATATTTATGGACAGGCTGAAAATGGACCTCCCCTCAATCAAGTCACGTGACAAACAAGGCTGCGAAACATAGATTTTTACGGCTTGAGGTAGTTCCCTTTGATTAAAATGTTTTGAAAACCTTATTTCTGAAAACTGTTTATCGCCGACTGTTAGCCCTTTTATCAAAATCGGCCAACATAGACGTTGTTTTTAAGCGAGTATCTCTGATAATTGTTAAAACTGTTTCTTTAGAAGCGTTAAATGTGTATGCTAATCAGTATCAGATTTTAAAGGAAAAGATTACATTTTATATTCCCGGGAAAAGTGTATATATATAGGTTGGTTTCCTGAAATTCAGCTCCTATAGAAAGGTACATTTCCAGTTTCCAATGATTGATTTTGTAACTTTACTTTTTAAATGAAATGCAACGTACTAGCATGTGGTTATTTTATCAGAAATCAGCTCTTCCCGAATGATACATTACGTAAATAATGTTCGTTATAATTAAAAACGATTTTATTTCTTTTTTCTCAAATACACCTCAGCCTATGGCCTTTCTTTTTTTTTTTTTTTTTTTTTTGAATTGTTCAGCCAATATTATAGTTTTCTTTTCAGGGTAACCCCCACCCCACCCAAACATGTAGTAAGAAGAAAGGAAGTGAAAACATGAGAATCATATTGTAAGGGTATACCTATAAATTCATTGGCTGTATTTTCGTATAATTGGGTAGCAATTCCTATCTACGAACAATCTAAAAGTATGTCGTTTATTACGGAAAAGATGCGTCATGTTTATTTTTATAAATGGTTTTCAAACTCGGTGATTTATTCTCTATGCGAGCCGTAAAATGGTTGGACATCTGCTTTTATGAATCAGATGCTTAAAAATAATTGTTTATGTAACAACAGTCAGTTGTTTCTCAATTTAATGTCAAGGTAATTAAAGACCCGCGCAAAAATGTGTCTGATACTGAAAATTTAACACATGGCATTTCTAACCTAAGCCACGGTTTTGAACTTTTCTGAAAGGAAAATATCCAATAACAAATTTCAATGTATAAAAATGTACTACGTTTTTTTTTTTTGTTTTTTTTTTAAAAAATGAAAAAGGAAAAGTACTTACCCGTTAAGACGTATGGTAGTTTCATTAAACTGAACAGAACTTGTAAAGAAAATCCGAGTATACTCATTAAGCGTCTTTCAGGATTCAGAAAAACATCCATTTTGAATAAAATTCTGAAAAACTTTCTTGTCAATCAAAACAAATGATAAGATTGATAGTCATATGGTTGGCTTCAAGACCAGTCTTCTATCATGTGGGAGATTTCATCGTCAACAGACAATTCTTCGCACCTATACCTATTACGCATGCGTATTCAAAACAACCAATCACTTGACTATAAATCTGCCTGCCGCTTGTAATGACAATTCCGTTGTTGTTGTGTCTTGTAGATGTCGATATTGTCTCAGTTGTTGCTATCACAGAGATTTCTTTCACGACCTAGTAGGTATAGTCCTCTCACACATTACAGCTATCGATCGATGTATGACGGCAGAACGATAGGTGAAAACTTTCGTCACCACAGTCCGGTTAATCCTTTGCCTTGCCTTTATTCAGTTCTAGCTGTACACAATAAAGCATTAATTCCAATTAATCAATCAAATCGCAATAGGTATGTCTGAATAATTGATTATATTCATTCGTTGCCTTTGAGTTATGATAATAAAGGCTAGCGATGGCATGTTTAACCAGCACGTTATCATGATTTGTTCATAATCAAAAGCAATTTGAGAAATGGACTAAGATAAAAGTGTGAACATCGATAACAAAAGATTATACGGAAAACAAGCAACTTGCCTGCTCTCAGGATATAACGGGGATTGGGTGACCAAATGGTTTAACGCGTGTGCGTTAGATCAGAAGGTCTGTCATTGAGTCAAGTGGCGTGGTTTCGATTCCCCGCTTGTAGGCCTACGTGTAGTGTAGGAATAGGGCCACCTTTCTAACCTCGTGGGTTTTCTCCGGGTCCTCCAACTGCTAAAGACCCCTACGCGCAAGCGAATTATTGAAATTAAAAAAAACATGTTAGTCCCGAAATGACTTACTTTGTATCGAGTGGACGTTAAACCCCATCTTTGGTTTGCTCTGGGTTCTTTGGTTTTCCCCCATTGCTAAAGACTCCTATGAGAAAGCGTATTATTGAATAAAATTGAACCATGCGTTAGTTCCGGAATGACCTAGTTTGTGTCAAGTAGCCGTTAAACGCTCTCTCTCCACAGAGGGTGTGTTTTTACTCTGTGCTCTCTCTCGCGCGCGCGCAAGCGAATTATCGAAATGAAATTGAAGCGGGTCTGTTGGTCCTGAAATGATATCGCGTGGACGTAAAGTCCCATTTCTAAGGTTACATTAGGAAACTGTATATATTACGGTCTAATTCCCAGAAACTTCTGTCTGTAGTGGGTATTTTACTAATTGGTGATTTTGTCAGATCTTTTACTTATTAACGATGTGCAGGCGACGCTTTGCAATCAAAAAAGATAAATCAGGAAATTGGGTTTATAGTCTTACTCTTTCCTCTTATTTTTGTGTCTCAACTGCATGGGCTAATTAAAATGGACATACGCAATGCAGTGTGTTATAAAGGGTGGTGTGTGTGGGGGGGGGGGGGGCCCGAGCCGCTGCCAACTCCTTATTCGACTCCCAACTTTCACGCTCAACCCCTGCTGGATTGAACCCGAGACCTTGTGATTATTGAGTCAGTACCATACTCATCGACCCACCGTAACTCATGTTCATTAATGAAAACAAATATAACCATCCGGAACAATGTTTTCTGATAATTTTTAAACAGTTCTCATTCCAGTCAAAACAATCGTTTAAATCACGTGGCTCAGCGAGTAAGACACTGGCTTGCTAGCCTAGAGGTGTTGGGTTCAAGAAAGTTCATAGAGATATTCTGGCGTGGTTTCCCCTTGCCAGTGGTGCAGGGCGGGGGGCCTGGCAAGGACAGCGGTCTAGTCGTTCGTATTGGTCGTAAACCAAGGTCCCGTGTACATGTTGGCGTGCACGTAGAAAAAACCCCATGACAGTTGGAATTCGATATAAAAGTAGCACCACTGTACGGACAAAACTTCCCCCATAGAACACTGTATGGCGTATGTCTGTCTTTATTACCCCAGTCGATGTAGAAAAGTAGAAAAAAAAACACATTTCATTTCATTTTATTTCCATCCCTACAATATTGAGTGAAAAGGTTTTATTAAGTGCTATGCCTTTGACATTAAAAATATCTGATTATTTAATCATAAACACGAATACCCATCTATCAGTATCGCAAAAGTTACAATTCTATTCTATTCAAATCAGATATAAATGTCGGCTGTAGTAATAACTTGTCTGTTATGTTGAAATGGTGTTTCGAATAACAACATTAAACAGAGAAATTGTTTTGTTCCTATTAAAAGATAGAGGCACACACGCTTCGTATTGAATTGTAACCTTTATTCACGATCTGATAGAACATTATATTGGTGGTATGAATTCTCTATTCGGATATAACAGACTTCGAATAATTCTTCAATTCTTTAATTTACCGGAAGATAAATATACATACAGGGTGACCCCCCAGGACCCATACATTTTTTAATAAGTCCTACAAAGTTCCAGCAAATTTGATGAAATGTGCTGGACTTAAACATCAGTCTGTGTACGATCATTCTACGAAGTTTCAGTTATCTGGGTGGCTTTGCATAAAAGTCATGATCCTTCCAAAATATATTCAAAGTGGCTACGCGGCATTGGAGGTAAACTTGCATAAGTTGCGCAAAATTGTCAATAGAGACTTTTGGCAAGTGGAATTTTTCCCATCCGTATCACGTATCCGTATCATCACGTGATACGTTGCGTCAATGTAGTTTTTAGAGTTTTGGCCGCGTACGTATGGCTAGCTGAACTGAGGTCAATTACAACATGATGACAGTTAGTGACTAGCCTACAAATTCCTGAAAGGAGTAATGTCGCTCGACAGTCGCTAAGTTATTTAAAATTTAAAAAACATTTAGTGTTGAATCTTATTAAAAAAAATCTTCGACTTCAACTCGACAGCAATTTTTGGTTTCTCTAATGTATCATTTCAAAAAGTTTATACCCCTTTTACAGATTTGCAAGGTCCCACCTTCCTATATTTAGCACGTAGATCAACCAGCATGCAGACAGACAGGAAAAATATGAAAATTCCGCGAAAAGCTCATCAAAAGTACTGATTAAATTCCAGTCTTTGCCATGGTTAAAATAACACCAAATATTCACATTCGTGTTCTAGGATACACATAGATTCATAAAAACGCTACGGCACAACATTTCAGCGTCTAAAAGTAGCAAAAAAGACGACGATGTTATACGGACCTTTTCCGTATGAAAGATGTTCGATACGTGCTGCCGTATCCGTGTGTCGTATCACGTATGAGAAATACACACGCATTGATGACGTCACACACAAAATCAATACGGATACGCGATATGGACCAGGGATTTAAGTTTGCCAAAAGTCTCTAATTACTCGAACACATTCCTCTTTGTCGATTTCCCTGATTTTTCCTGTGATTGCTGCCCCCAATTCACTAATCGTTTGAGGGTTGTTCTGGTACAAAGAGGATTTACTTGTCAAAGATTGTAACGAAATTAAATGAAATCGGGTTTAACGCCCTACTTTTCTGCATCACCCGGGCTAATGAAAACAGGCATACGTCATTCAGTGTGTTATATTATGGGGGGGGGGGGGGTCCATCTGCCAAGGGTTATTTTCGCGCCATCCCAACGACTAGATGCTGTTCCTTTTATCCACGACGAGGAACGTTCTCGGCCAACACCGGGATCAATCCTTTGACATCCTGGTGAATGAAATATGGTGTTCTTTATTCTGCACCAATCTAGCCAATGAAGAAGGGCATACACCATGTGCTATGGGAAACCTTTTGCCGGGACAGTAGTGTTTCCGCCTACTCTTCGTGGAATTTTAACTGTCAAAGGTGTACGCGAGACCTCGGATCTTCGTCCCAGTCCAACGACTAAACGCTGTTCCTTAAGAGCCCCCCCCCCCCCCAACCCGTCCTGCCCCACGTCCTTCACCACTGACGACAAAGAAAAGCCACACTAGAAAATCCCGAGGAACTTTCCCGGCCAACACCTTCTGATTAGTGAGGCAGCCACCTTGTCTCCCGAACTTTAAAGTAGGTATAAATATACTTTCGGTTATAGTTAAGAGAGTTTATGAATAAGATATGAATAAGATATTATCTGGAGGATCACGTGGCTAAGTGGGTAAGACGCTGGCTCGCTAGCCTGGAGGTCGGTTGTTCGATCCCTGCATTGGCCGAGAAAGTTCATTCAGATTTTCCAGCGTGGTTTCCCCATGTCGGAGATGCAGGATGAAGGGCCTGACAAGGACAGATGTCTAGTCGTTCGGATGGGACGAAAAACCGAGGTCCCGTGTACACATTGGCGTCCACGTAAAAAATCCCTTGGCAGTTAGAATTCGATATAAGAGTAGGCCGTAGCGCCGCTGCCCGGGCAAAATTTCCCCCATAGCACACTGTATGGCGTATGCCCGTCTTCATTAGCCCAGATTAGGAGAAGAACAGTAGGACGTTAAACCCCATTTCATTTCATTTCAGATATTACCTGAATCAAAATCAATTACATTTATTTTCTTGGTAAGGGTGATAACGTTTCTGTTTAGGTAAGAATGGTCATGGTTATATTATGTGTTTTATGTTATTGTTAATTTCCCAGCAACTGTCTACGTCGCTACGCTTTCAGGGAATTTATTTCTATAGGCTCATTATTGGTATCCATGTCATATACTTTGTTATTCACTTTTATTATGACAATTGTAAATATTTGATTATGTATATAGAAGAGGCATATTGTGCATGTACTACAATCTACAATCGAAAAAAGCCTAGGGCTTCACTTATTCATGTATGATCCAAAAAAAAATTGGCATTCCGATTCCTTGGGCGATTGCGCATCTTAAGTCAGTCATTATATCTACAATCCACATTATATTATACTGAAAGTAACTATGTAAACATCCGTTTCCAAACAACGTGATATCGCGGGCAGATTAATGAAAATAAGTTTGTATAAAACAACAATAACATCGATTCCAACTATTCTACGGTAAATTAATATTGATGCACCTTGAAAGATAAGACGGTGGTGTTTATATACCACTTGTTTTCAGCACAAACTGGGCTAATGAAGACGGACAGCGGCGCTACTACCTACTCTTATATAGAATTCCCACTGTCACGCCAATGTGCACACG